CAGTGACCGAGTGTCCAGGTGGCCTGCAGAGGTTAATCTGTCGGTAAACACGACCAAGTCGTTATTCATAAGCTTGAAGAAGCATGGTGGTGGGTAAATTTACATCCTGGCCGTCCAAGCGCCTCAGGTCACACCGTTTATGAAAGAGACTACTGCGTGGATTAAAATATTTTGCGCATCCAGCGTCTGGAGAGGAACTGTGAGTTAACCCAATACACGGTACTGATGGGAGTTGTGAGAAACCAGTAATTGCTGGTAGCAAGGGGAAAAGAAGCTATGAAGAAAGATCCGAGAATACTGTCGTCCGACGAAATCGAATGCTGCAAGGAAGAGAACGTGATGGACAGGCTCTGCACACTGAGATGAAGTAGTGTGCGGGCGGACGGGCGGGCGAGTGAGGATGCAGTTCTGTGCACAAACCTCGGATGACTTTCATATTGTCTGTCGTGTGGAGCAAGCTTGTATCCTAGTAGCTTCTGCCATGGATAATATTTACCTTTATGCAATGATGTCTTGTGCTTTTGATGTTGCTTGTGATTATCGTGTCCGTGTGGAGCAACATACTTGTGGTGGGTTGCTGAACATCTATTTCAGAGGGAAAACCGGCGTGTGTGGCAACTATCCATAGGTTGCTGTTTGCCGACTGCGCGATGTGTGCATACAGCACGGATGAGTTTCAGCGCATTATTTCGGTTTTCGCTTCGACAACGGCCACCTTCCGGCTCACCATAAACATGAGCAAGAATGTTTGCCTTTTTGAGCTTTCACCAGAAACGGGGTCATTGTGCTTACCCCAAATTCAGATTTGTAACGACGCTTTGAAATCCACCTCTCGCTTTTGCCACCTAAAGAGTGTACTTTCGACGAACCTATAGATGATGACCGAGCTGCGCATCCACATATCAAAGGCGACTGACGCGTTTGGTAAGCTGGAGAACCGGTGTGCAACAATCGTCAACTGAGCATTGGGACGAAGCTGAGAGTAAATAAATCGATAGTACTATCCGTTCTTCTATTCGGCAGCGAAACCTGGACGCTCTATCGGAAGGACGTCCATTATCTCGAGTGATTTCAACAAGAGTGCCTGCGTCGTATTTTGCACATCGGCTGAGAAGACCAATTTGCTGACACGGAAGTATTCCAATGCAGTGTCATGTATGCGGAGTACTGCATACTTCCGCTGAGGCACCTGAGCTGGCTCGGGTGGATTCGCCGCATGGATTCGACCCGGATACCGAAACAGCTGCTTTATGGTTAACTACATACAGGGAAGCGGCACGTGGGAACACCGAAGTTAGGTCATCAGGACATGATCAAGGTGAGTGTTGGAAGTCGATGGCAGTGGACTGGCGCCGATGGCGGTAGCATACCAAGAGGGCGGTTGCCCAGCTGTAAGATAAATCGCTACTGCATGCGGGAAACGTCCGTTGGGAAAACGACAGGCGTCGATGGTGGATAGCCCATGGACGCCGAGCGCAATGTGCTGTAGCACATGCGGTTGCGAGTGCCTCAGCCAAGCGAGTTTGGTAACCAACCGGCGTCGCCACCTTGGGTCAACATCTAAGGGTAGACGAGTATGTTAAATGTGTAGATATCACCAACGCGCCGTTTGTAAGTTCGCTGCTTCCGACTAAATTTACTAACCCAGATCAATGAGGCGGTTGATGTGGTACGACGTGTGCTACATCATCGCTGCAGCTGATCTGTACCTGTGCGTGTGCGTTGAAGTGTTTGCATTTCAGGTGCTAGCTGTGCACTGATATCCTCATGGTGGCAGCGTCTGATGTGAATGTTAACAAGTTGCTTACTGATCTAACACCCACCATTTGGATAACTGGTTCCAGGAGACTGTGAATTGTTGCTGGGGAGAGATAGTGCACGATCCTCGTGACAGTGCTACGCCCAAAGAGTGGTTCCACGCAAAGTGATGAGCGGACTATGATCCAGCAACTGCTTTGCGTACGTCTGATAGGCATGATTCTCAAAGCAGACAGACAAGAATGCCGCTGCTGTTGGTGTGCATTTTGAAGGAGTGTGGGCCGCCCCCGTTGATGGAACATGGCTCCTATCCACATGCCTCCAGGTCTTACTGCTTCGGGTTTGCAATGATTATGCAGTGTGTGGATGGAGCTATGGGTGGTGCAGCGCAAGCTAGCCATGGCCGCTCGGTAGGCGCAGGTGTCCAGTGTCTAGCTTAGGGAGGCCACAGCGACAGGCATATATATATATATATATATATATATATATATATATATATATATATATATCACTCCGCATCGGAAGTTTCCCATGGCTTAACGGTTAGCAAAGTGAATGTGTGTATGATTGCACATAATCTATTAAGCATATATGCTTCTCTAAGTTAGTTAAAATTTACAAATTACGGCCGCAAAAGGAAAATAAACCGTTATACAGTCAAACCCGCTTTATTTTCCATAAGCAGGATATTTCAAAAGTGGGCAATAAAGCGAGGTGGGCAATTAACAAATATTGCCATTTTCCCAAAATGGAAACAACCATTGAATTACTGTACAGTATATCACTTGAATTGTAACGTGCTAAGAAGTATAAAGTAGTTACTTAAAACAAAAGACGTTTATTCGGAAGAGCCTGACCTATAATTTGAAATTTACTATAAATTATGTTACTTGGATAATTATGAAAACTGGAGCTACTGTGGATTTTTGCCGAGAAAACAATCCAACCTCAGTTGTATATTAGTCTGAGCTGCTACCCCAGTCACTAATGCACTGAGGAAGTTCAATTTGGACAAGAAATCGTGCCTTAGCCCATGCGAAAGTCCGGTGCTGTACAGATCATTCACATAGTTCTTTGCTCTTGTATGCGACACGTGCAGATCGCTGTTACACACGGAGGCATCAGATAGGTCATGCTTTGAGTCGCTGCGTTCGGTCTGTTCTGGTCAATAATCTAAAATTTTACTGACGAGTTCAACTTCAACAGTTGTCGGATCTGAGGTACATTTCACATCGTTGTCAATGGCGATGATTCAGATTCAGAATCACACCTTGGTCAATGGGCTGAGGAATGCTGGTCATGTTTGTCGGCAGAAATTCCATTCGTATATTTTTCGGACCTTCTACCTGTGGATGCGCTATGCAATCATCCAAAAGTAACCTAATATTTAGACCAAGCTTCTTGTCCCATTTGGGGATCCAGTCGGTGAAAAGTTATTTCGACATGCACCCATTTTGGTTAGCTCTGTAATATACGGGAAGTGGGCCCACGTTCAGGTCATTAATACATCGTGGTTTCTTAGGTTTTCCAATCAAAACCACGTTTGTAATCCGCGCCAAATATATTTGAGCAGCCCACCAGTGATCCCATCCATGGCTTTTTCCAATCCGCTGAGCTTGTTGGCAGGAAAACACAAAGAGCCCTCTGGAGTTTCTCGGTAAAAAAAGACATGGTTCGTCTGCAATGTACACATTGCCAAGATCAAACGCACTTGAAAGTTCAGGCAGTCAAGCTTTTAACCAATTTTCACAAACGGTTCTGTCCGCGGAGCTCTTTTGGATATGTGCACGTTTATACACAATCTGATTTCTACTCTTCCATCTTTGCAACCCTACTTCTGTGGCAGCAAAGTTTTTTCTTTCTCCGAACTCTACTGCCTTCTTCTTCATCTTCAGCAGTGGGCCTGTAACTGTTTGGCTGTGCTTAAGAACCGATATCATCCAGTCTTTCAATGCAGTTTCAACTTCTTCGTCCTTTCCACATCGCTTCCTTTTTTGAGAGCTTGCAGTGCCACGCAACAGATTCTGCAGGAGTTCCTTTTCGCTGGTAATCAAACCTACCAGGGTACGACAAGAAATGCGACAAGTTGTCCTACGAGGTTTCTTGTGGAGAAATTTTAAGTTGGTCCAAAACGTCCAACCTTGCTATCAAGGACAACTCCTTTCTGTTACTGGCCATACTTATGTGTAACCAGCAGAGTACTGACAAATGTGGAGCGGCAAGATTGACCCATTTGCTCAGTTCCCGAGTTTTAACTAAGGCCGAGGGCTTGTACACATCCATTTGTACACATTTAGCTTGATCGTAAATTGAACGACATAGGTAACCTATTCTGATCTGTCAATAAAGTCGCCGACATCTTTGTTGTTCTTGACTCGATCGGACTGGCTAGCTGTGGGGTACTCGCAATAAAAGTTCGTCGGAGCGAGGGCGTAAACTTAACAAAGCGACAAGAGCACAGCCCACGCAGCTGGGCAATTAAGCGGTGGGACAGCCCCGGCAATCGGCAATTCGACGGTGAAAATTTAGCATATTTAAAAGAATTTGTATTTAGAAAATGTGGGCAATAAAGAGGGGTGGGCTATAAACCGAGTGGGCAATAAAGCTGGTTCGACTGTAGATGAAAACCGATAAATCATCCATTAAAACAAAAATTTAGTGATCTCTTTAATTAGAAGATAAATGTTAGGAGGATACGGCTTCTCGAGTGCACAAACCAGCGGACCACGTGAATCGCGTTCACTCAAGCAGCTGCGCAAAAGCCAGAACGAGAGCTGAGCCCAAGGTCAACCCGGCTGATGCCTAACGCACCGGAAGCATATCGATCGACAGAACAGTGTTGATTTGAATTCAGCACCAGTGATTGAACGCGCATTCGGCTAGTGCAGTCTGTACAGTGTGCATTCTTCACCCGCGTTTGGTTCACGTTCAGATCTCCGAATAAACTCCGGTTTCTCGCGTACACGCCCTGCTGGTTCTTCATTGCTGGAGACTGGCCTATTCCCTTCTCTAGCAGTGTCCGACACAACAATAAATCAGTGTAAAAAAAAACTGCGGCTTATGTTCGAAACATCGGTTACATACGTTTGCAAGTCGACGAGTTTGTAGAAAGCACTTTTGGTTATCCATTCAGCTGGAAGACTGATAGAGCATCCCCCAATTTGGTCAAAAAATGTCAGAGTCAACAAAACTACTTCTTCAAATTTATGACATTAGTATAAAAGTGCAAACGCGGAACTCACCATTGTTCAGGCGCGTTCAGGTTCCACCACAACACGGTTAAGTGTGACACAGTGGCGATTGGAGTATTCAATGCGGACAGTATGGGTGACATTTGCACGGAGCATGAATGAAATCGGACGCGAGTTCGCCTGAATGCATGCGACAGCAGTGCGGCAGCGTCAAGGTCTGGTGCACGCCGAGTGATTGGATGTGGTGGAATGGTCAACCAAGAGGTATCGTCTGATAGTAGATCATTCACATGGTAAATGAGATGGGGAACGAAATCCCAATGGCGTAATTCGGCCGTTATCTCCTCCGGATGTAAAGGACAGATGTGCATACACTCGAGAGGTCCCAGATGTAGTATAAGGGAATGCGCGTCCACAGGCTGAAGAGGCATAATGAGAACGATAACGTTTGACGTCAAACAGAGACCGGAAACAGAGACAAGGGGGAAGAGTAACTCATTTCGTATCGGGGACGTGTTCAGCATATACTCGAGAGTAAATGAACCTGACATTAAATCACAGCCAACAGAAGTGAAAGTAAAAGTGAGGGATGAGACAAACTGTTTTTGAAGCAAAGGATCAAAGCTCATCTACCACGCGCGTTGCAACAGAGCACATAGATACTCAAAAGCCCAGATGTGAGAAACCGCGAAAGGAAGATGTCTGCTGAAATCCCACATCTGACAATTGCCTGGATTAGTGACAAGTAAAGAAATTTTTGATGAAATGTTACTGATTCATTAGTAACCGAAAACTTGCACTCGCAGTCTTTAAGTTCTACAAGTACGTCGCTGTTTTGTAGTGGAAGTCGTGATCTCTTGAGTCCAGCCACTGTCCACTAGAATGGTAGTAACCTGCATGACAGTGGAGGACAGGTCGCTTTAAATACCAGTTAGCTTGCGAGTTACGACGGTTTGTCACCGTCCCCCATAGCTCAGTAGCATAAACTGTTGGCTAGTTGGCGCAAGCTGCTAACCAAGAGAACGGCCGCTACTGACAAACCCTAATGGGGCAAAATGGTCGTCTGGTGCTTTCTGGACTGATGGTTAGACTATCTAGCTTGTGAGCTGCTGGGACAAATAAGTAGCATCGGCTTATAGAGGTCGCTTCGCATAGAAAAGAACAGGAGAAGATGACGTCTGTTTGTCAGGAGGAAATAGAATTGCTGAATAATAGCTAAATAATGGAGGCCAGGGATAGCTCGCTGGTATACGTAACGCGATGCTGGTTGAGCTAAACGCATGTTTCAACTTTGGTGGTGTGGTATGAGTATTGTCATGCTAGCTGTCAGTATTAGTTTATGAATTCAGAACGAACAGATAAAAGACCGCTCGTGATAAAGTGATCGCCACCAGTCGAGCAACAACGCCTACATGCGCGAGCGAGAATAGTCTTGTAAGCCCGCACGACCAATTGGCCCGATCGATGAAAATGCCAAGTTTTGCCAGGGGCAACCAATCAAGGAAGGCCAAGGAGTGGATGTTACTCTAAAGAATATGTTGCATCCTGATTAAAAAAGGTTCTGATCGCAGCCCAGTCTTTGTTTATGATTCTCGGAAGGCATTACAGAGCAAGTGGTCTGACCGCAAGTGCGGTAGTTAAACCGATGGACCTAACTTGACCAATCAATACGACCAGCGTTTTGAACTCTGCTCAGCACTATAGCAATAAGTTGAACAGATGCTTCACTACTGTACAACCACAATGAGCCATAAAAGGCTGAATAGTAAGGAAAGGCGGAGAGGATTCACAGGAAAACCCCGCGTCTGGATTAATTATTCGCGATCAAAACGCCTACACCCTGTCAACAACATACGGTCAAAAACAACTGCCAATCGTATGGAGATAAGATGTTAAGTCACTTTAAACAGCCAGTTCGGATAAGTGACGACAACAAACGCGTCGTGATCCATGCCTAAGTCTCACACCAATTACAAGGTAGGCGGTGTGGATTCCAGCCAGGAAGGTAATGACTGAAAGCACCCCATTTGGTAACCAGATGCTTACGTTTCCGCCCTCGAGCCCTGAACCACTACACATCAAAGAAGGAAAGCAAGGCCCTCTTGGGTAAGTAATGAGAACATAGACAGCAGGTGTTCCAAGTAATCAATTCGACTATCATAGTCTAGCACACGTCTGCCCACGTTATTGTTGGGAATACGCTGGTGCCAGGTAGCCAAAGCAATGGCCTGTGAGAAGCAATGACCGTAGGATTGAAGTGGTATTTCGCCCTCTGACGAAACCGTGGACATTGTTGTGTTGTATTGTGTTTTCTTTTACTATTGCTGTACCTTGTTTTGAGTTCCATGGTTTCCGATGGTGCAATGTCTATTCATAGACTGTTGCAAAAATATATATAAAAATATATCACCGGATCTGACAAATTTAGTAAATTCCCCGGGCAGACATGATGCACAGCTTGTTGTAGCTTATACAAACAAAATTCGCTTGTTTTCCATTCAAAACGTGCGCCACTATGCAACTCAGATCACTGTATACTAAAGATTTGCCCAACCATCTACAGTGAGACTATGTCGCATTGACGAAACGATCTCTCAAGGCTATCCTATGTGGTAATTGCTCGGCGAAAATTATTTCTCGATTTCAAGCGACGGTTTCTCCAACCGATTCTTCAGGTTCTACAAATGTATATCTATCGCACCAATATGATCATCTCAGTAGTTGCATAAACTTTCGCTTCAACCTATGCTGCTCCATCGAGACGGTCTGTCTGGGAGCAGATTGACTTTCTTCACCCCTGCTGAAACAATTTTGAAGAAAAAAAGTAGTTACAAGTTTATTAAATGACCACTCGCGTCAAAAGCCTAACTTTGACAATTATAACTAAAATAACAAGACCAAACAGTTTGTACATTGAAACGGTACTGGGAAACCGTAACTGACGTGATCTCTGAAGGCTGTTGGAGCAAATCTGTGGTAAAAGTACCATTGGAGGTACTGTAATCGTGGATGTTGACAAACTCAATTATGAGTTTAGTTCCTCTCCGTCGGGCGCCTTTCAATTTCCGTTCTTCACAAGCTCAGGGTCGGCCGAGTTATTTGATTAAATTGGCATCAACAGAGAACTCGAGAAGCTAAATACAGATAAAGCTAGTGGCCGTGACGGCTCATTACCTGTGGTTTGGAAGCATTGCGCCGATTCCCGCACCTTACCCCTGACTGATAGTTTTGATCAGTGTCTATTGACCGGTGTGATTTCCGACATTTGGAGATTAGGCAGAATAACGCCAATTCATAAAAAGGAAACTCAAAAGTATCGGCATATTAGTGGTACATCCTAAAGAAGCTATTAATTCCACGGAGTTCCGCAGGCATTCGTGCTGATGATGTCTACCAGTCTGCGTGTATACCCCTTTTATTCTCTTTATATGTCGAGTCTCCCCATACCACCAGCACTTATTGGATGTGAATATGCTGACGATGTTGTCTTTGGGTGCAGGGCTCCTTTCATTGAGAGGTCTACGCTTCAGTGTGGTTTAGACGAACCTGTGAGTTGGTCTTCAATCAGGTCGCTTAACCTTAATGCATTGTAATGTACTGATATAACATTTTCATTCCTCCGCCTTGATAAATTGCAAGTAAGTTTATTTGCCTCTCCTTAGTTAAGTTTGGAGGACAAAACCATGCCAATTTCATCCACCGTCAAATATCTCGGTGTCCATTTTCCCCAAAACATCTTTTGGTCCATATCCGTTTTGGAGACTTGTCAAGAGGTTACCTTTTATGATTTCCGATTCAAGAAGCTCTCCGTACTGCGAAGCTTAATTAAGTTACTTGTAACGGGATTCATTCACTCTGGAATTCAAAACCCCCCTCATTCTTGCTTATCTAACTAACGCAGCAGGGATAATCGGATTAGTGAGTATTGTGTGATTTGACGCTGATAGGTTCAAGTTCCTATGCTGTTCATCACCACAGCATCTGTAGCACATTACATTATCTGAGTGACGTAGAGGAAGCGCTTGGTTGCCCTCGTTGAAGCGGGGTTACCCTTAAATGGGAGGTCGAGGTATACCTTTTCCTTAGGTGTCGTCAACACCGTAACAAGCCAACTTTGCGGGGCGCGTTGTCGGTCTTAAGGATAATTAGATTAAAGTCGGCATTGTTTACTGATATTGCATTAAACTTTACAGACCCATCCGTGAAAGGCACAGATGGATCGCTCGGTTAAACCACCAATTTGTTCATTTTGCAGCAGCAGACTCCTCCCCCTGATACCTGGCCCTTCATTTCCCACTGTGAAGTGACTGTTAATATTCCCTCCCTAGCCTCACTGTGTGATCTGTAAATGTTGGGCACATGTTAATTGTCGCCAGATATGTTTGGCACTGCGTTATTTCCTTTTTCGTATTAGATTATGAACTTTCGTTTACTGCACCTGGGTCACATTCACTTCAAACCTGACTATTGACTATGTCGCACTTATGCCAATTATTGTTGCCTTATTATTGAAACGTTTGCTTCGCTGAGTGCGCTTTAACAGACGATAACTATGACAGCAAATCGTGGATGCTTCTTCATGACTATACTAGTGCTCATAACGCTCCGGGCACCCGGACATTACTGACCGAGAAAAAATTACTATAATAGAACAGCCCTCATACTCAATTGATATTGCTCTAAGCAACGCTGGTATTAAGGAGCATCGTGGAAGAATGCTTCAGCAGTGCGACGGAGCGTGGTAAAGAATGACGGAAACCCGCATTAAACCCGAGGGGATTGTGCTGAAGGTGAAGTTATACAGTTTGTTGTTTTCGAGCTACTGGGATTCTATCAGTAATATAAAATATCACTGATAGCTGTTGTTGATATTCGTGCTCAATTAAGTCGCCGTTCCACTTGAAGCCTCTGTACAATACTCCACCGGTTGTACTGTTGCTCAGTAAGCTTTACTGGACTACTGTAAAAAGGACTACGTTTTGAATGCGCGATCGATTTAACATATTTCCAGTTGTGGCGAGGTTCCTTAGTTGATTTTATTGTTCATAAGTATTTGCGTGCTTGCATGAACGTTTCTTCTAAAGTCCTAAGTGACCACATTGATCCGCTACATAATGCTTCTTCACAAACGTTATCTGTCTCTCATACACGCTCAAAATTTAGGATTTTATTCTCTCCCACTTCTTCGTATCGTAACACAATCTTACTTTGTCGACCCTAAGAAAGTCACAAATGCTTTCCGCATGTGGCTCCATGAATAACATTTACGTGTCTTTGTCAATTAGTTTTTGTATGAGTTTTAACTGGTCCCATTCGTTCAGTTTATCCAAAGTGATAGTGTAAATTCAGATAATGCATTTATTTAAGTGTATAAAACCTATTTCGACTTGACTTGATCACACAACAGCTGGGTTATCTACCAAAGTGGAAGCAGAGTGCAACTCCGATTGGAAGTGGGATATCGGCAGTATGTCAAATGGGAAACCCAGAGACGGCTCCATAAGTGGTTTCACAGATATAAGAATCTAAAAGTCAATTGTTCATGTGTTCTCCGAGCTTGGCGCTTTTCTCGCAAACGTTTCACCACCATGCGAGGTGGCATCCTCAGTGCAGTGATATGTAGCGTACAAGCTTACTAAATGAATTCCCTCTCCATGATCGACCTGCAGGTGACTTTGAACGTGGCAGTGTCGATTTAGGTCCGTGACCTCTACCCATTTTCCCCAAGGCTAAAGTCGGCGCCCGAGTTGTTCTGCCTCAAACCGCGTGGCAAAAGGTTCTTTATTTTCTTTCTGTCGTAGTGGTTCGTATATTGAATCGATGTCCACGCGCATGTTGATGGAATGTTTCGTTGAGAACCAAGCTTCCAAGAATTCTCTTTCTTTTCTCGTTTCACCCCGTGCCAGGACTTCTGTTTTGCTCCAATCGAAGCTATGTCCTTCTTCATCTACATGCATTGAGACTACCGACGATGCATAATGCTTTATACAGGCTCTCTTATGTTCTTGTATCCTTGTTACCAATTTTCTTCCCGTTTGGCCAACATAATCCCTTTCGCAATCTCGGCAAGATATTATGTATACCACATTGCGTTGTTCATGTGCCTGCAGGTTTTTTTGGTTTTGAAAGCGTTTTTCTCAACGTGGCAGTTGGTTTGTGTGCTACGATGAGATGATGCTGTTTGAGTAGTCTGGCTGCCATTTCCGATATGTTCTTCATATAAGGCAGAACAACCAGTTTCTCCGTTGTCGTTGTGTTTGTTGTTGTTGTAGGCTGTATGTTGACGTTGTTGTGATGCAGACACCTTCGGATGAAGCTTCGTGGGTATCCGTTGAGTTGGAAACATTTAAGTAGATGTTTTTCTTCCATTTGCTTTGCTTCTGTGGTACTACAGTGTGTTTGCACTCTGCGAAACAGTGTCCGCACACAGCTTACTTTGTGGCATTTCGGGTGGTTGCTGTTAAAGTTCAGAATCTGGTCTGTGTGTGCCTTTTCTGTAGACCGATGTTTGCAGCTCGCCTTCAAAACCAAAAGAAAAACTGCAGGCACATGAACAACGCAATGTGGTATACAAAATATCTTGCCGAGATTGCGAAAGGGATTATGTTGGCCAAACGGGAAGAAAATTGGTAACAAGGATACAAGAACATAAGAGAGCCTGTATAAAGCATTATGCATCGTCGATAGTCTCAATGCATGTAGATGAAGAAGGACATAGCTTCGATTGGAGCAAAACAGAAGTCCTGGCACGGGGTGAAACGAGAAAAGAAAGAGAATTCTTGGAAGCTTGGTTCTCAACGGAACATTCCATCAACATGCACGTGGACATCGATTCAATATACGAACCACTACGACAGAAAGAAAATAAAGAACCTTTTGCCACGCGGTTTGAGGCAGAACAACTCGGGCGCCGACTTTAGCCTTGGGGAAAATGGGTAGAGGTCACGGACCTAAATCGACACTGCCACGTTCAAAGTCACCTGCAGGTCGATCATGGAGGGAGAATTCATTTAGTAAGCTTGTACGCTACATATCACTGCACTGAGGATGCCACCTCGCATGGTGGTGAAACGTTTGCGAGAAAAGCGCCAAGCTCGGAGAACAAATGAACAATTGATTCATCAACCCGAGCTACCAGTATTTCGAAACATTTTAAATCTAAAAGTCAACGGTTGTAGATCTGGATAGCAAAAATAAAGCCGCTGTCAATTTGTGGAAAATAAAATCGAGCTAAAGCGCACATCGTGAAGCGCACGACGAATAGTAACAGATAGAACATGGAAATGCATGTAACGGAGAAAAATGGCAAATCATGTGTACTTGAGAGGCGGAGTGGATGACGTGAAAATGCACATGAGCGGAAGATGTTGCCAACCGGAACATTTGAATGGGGACGTGACCTCCAAAACTGGTCAGTTGAGGTTGACCGGAGAGCGCTTCTGAGCGTTCGCAGACTGAAGATGAAAAGGCGAAAGTAAACGTGGTAATAGGATGGGCCATGATATGCAATAAATGCAAAATATGCGAAGTGATAGTTGGTGATGGGTGCACACAAACTGTAAAATGATTGAGCCAGACTTCTACTGTATCTGAAATGACAGAACAATAGCTGGCTAGAATGAAGTCCGTTGGCTCAAATCATTTGAGCAAGATGAAAAGTAATTGAAAAATGGTTGCATCCGTACAACAGTACCATGCAATTGCTTGACAATTGTGAAACCTCAAGCGGTTATGTGTGGGACGGACGCTGTCATGGTCTCTAAATCTAGACGGGACCAAAATTCGAACCTGTGGCGCGCAGACTGAAAACGAATCCCCTAACCAAAAAACTCCTGATCTTAGTGCAGGGATGTGTAAGGAGCAGCTCTTAAGGAATCCATCTGCTAGCCATATATCGATCAAAATCCGACCTCTGTCCAAAAATTCAGTGGAATAATCTCAATGGTCCATCAGAAGAAGTATTGGTAAGTAAGGAATAAAAAAGTACAGTCAAGAAGCACATCGGAAACATATAAAAACGCTAGACTTTGCCGCATAATCGACTTGTACTTTGTATTAATTAAACTGACGTCCGAAGCCAAGCTTTTCTGATTAGCCAATTGGAGCATAAAAGTCAGAACAACCAATAAGAGTGGCGCGGTGCGGCAGCATTTGGGAGACGGTGACAGAACGGGAGATCGCTTCATCGATGTGCCCGTGACACTAGCAAGCTGTATCGAGCTGAATAATGTTGTAAGATGAAACAGTGGAAAATATCGAGGAGGTAATATTAAGAAATGAACTACATTAGCAAGCAGATGAGCGTTTAATGAATCCCATGTCCAAAAAATTGGAATTTGTGATGCTGGCCACGGTGTCACATTGAACTAAGATAAAATGTGGTAGGGGGTGGAAAAACTAGGCAGATTAAAATGAATAGGTAGTGACTAAGATCATTTATATTCGATAATAAGAAAAAGGGATAAATTTTGTCTCTGCATTTCGCTTTGGACGAATGCGAAAAAATCCCACCAACTTCCGTACTCTCAAAGTTGTCTGTCAGGATGTAGAAGAGTATCACCGTATCCTCGGACGGTCCACACGCCTCAATGGATCAAAACTTTATGTTCTGAAAAATCTCTCCAAAGAAGATCGAGTCAAAATGTGCAACGCAGTTAGAAAAGTACGAACCAGTAGAGCGGATGGTGGAAACAACTTGCACATAGTGGTTTTGCAGGTAGTGCAAAATGCCCAGATGTTTCACTGGAAGTTGCAGTTCCACCTCCCTGGGACTTAAAAACAAGGACAAAGCCTGGGCTGCAGGTGACGGTTGAAAATGTTCACAGCCACCGGAACAAATTGAACGAGGTACACGCCCCCACTTCAAAGCTCCTTCCGGACCTGTTGGCCTTCACTGAGTCCTGGCTCACTTCAAATACCTCCGACTCCGAGGTCTACATACCAGGATACCACCTTTTTCGTGCTGGCAACTCTGGAGCAAGGACTGGTAGTGGCGTATTTCTCTACTGGAGAGAGGATCTTAAAGTTCGTCTCGTAGAAGCTGTCAGCAACGCTAATGGTGGTGCAGAGCTGTTCTGGTGCAGGGTCAATGATGGCTTCAAATCTCTTATGGTTGGCGTTGCCTACAAAGCGCCGTGAGGTCATGGCGCTTCTGTGCTAGACTTTAACAAATCGAATGAAAACCGCAGAGATTGTCTTATTGTGGGTGATCACTATGCCCCGGATGCTAACTATGACCTGCAACATGGTCGCCTCCTCATTGAAACCGCCCTCAAAACTAATCTCTTCCAGCAAATAACATCACCCACTCGGCTTCTTGCCGGCCAGGCTAAGCACATTCTAGATCTGGCGCTCACTCCGGCTTTGTCTGACGTTTCGGAATTGACCCTTCTACAGCGCACTGGTAAGAGCGACCATTGTAGGATCACTTTCTTATGAACAAACAACTAGGTATGCAAGCCCGGAGCACACTCCAGGGCGAAACTCCTGGAGCACGGACGCAACCAGATAAGGAGTGTCAGCGATTACGTTGACTGGAATGTTCCACAATACTTGGAACTCGACGCTGCTTGGAACGAGCTATCCTCCAAGTTGAAGCTACTCATTGAGGTCGTCCCATTCCACAGTAACAGGCCTCTCTCTAAGGGACCTCCCTGGATCGACCGAGAACTCAGGGCCAGCATGAAACAACGACGTAAACTATGGGACAAATTTGAACCTTCCCGCTTAGACACAGGCTACTCTAAATACAAGGAAGTCAGGAACTTCTGCTCTCTGCAGAAAGATGAAAATTGGTAACGTTATGAGCAGCGCTTGGTTGAAAAATCCCTTTCTAGACCAAAGAAACTATACCCATACCTTAACAGATCTTGCTAGGACGGCGGCGGAATTTCTGCGTTGTCCACCAACGAGCGAGGTACAATACACTACGAGGATGACGCCAAAGCTGATGTCTTGGCTCTACAGCTCTCCGCAAAATACACGATGGGAGACACATTGGCAAACAACTACGTGCGTGCACATCAAGTACCTCTGGAGCATATCGAGAAAGATGCAGGTGCCAGCTTGAGGCGACCAGTTGAAATGAACTCAGGATACTCACCAGGACCAGACGGGCTACACCCTCTGCGTCTCCATATGGTAGCAGAGTTCATTGCCACCCACTTTGACAAATTTTTCAGCTCTCTCAAAGCCAACCGACAACCTCTCCAATGGAACACCTGTGTAGTTATGCCGAAAAACAATAGTGGTAACCGCCAGTACCTCTCAAAGTATCGGCCGATTTGCTTTACGTAGGTCGGCTGCTAGATCATGGAAACGCTCATTAAATGTGCCATCCAGAAATACTGCAAAGAGTAGAACATCAATTCGTCTACTCAGTAAGGCTTCCAAAGGGGATGTTACCGAAACTCTAAGCTGCTAGCCGCAAGAGAAAAGTGGGCTAAGCCACTGGACGCCGGAAAAGGTTAGATGGGATATTCAACGAATTCAGTCAAGCTTTGACAGTTACTCTTCAGCAACTACTCTCCAAGCTCTGCGGAATTGGCATAACAGGGAACGTCCTATTATGAATCACTGACTTTATGCAATGTCGGAGCATGCAAGTCAAGGTAAACGATACCCTCTCATTCCTAGTGCATATGACCACAAGGCTCCGTTCTCGGACCACAACTGTTCAAGATCAACGTCAATGACCGACCAAGTGTGCAACAAACGGACGACATGATCAGGCAGACGAACTCAAGCTATGGTCGGAAGTGTGCAGCCTCGCAGAGGCCATACGACTAAAGGAAACGCAACATCCACTGCACGCATGGTATATCAAGAGGGATTTGTCGGTCACAATTCGCCTGTCCTTTTAAGTAATTTTTATGCCCAATGTTTGTATCCGCAGTTCGACCGTAAAAAGGTGCTGAAAATGTGCCCAGTCGGGTACATAAAGCTCATTTTCGCTCCGAACAATCACAGATGCTCTGTCCTTCAAATCGGCGCTGCAGTACCACTGGGCAATTATCACATTGGCGGGTACTGCCGCTAAAGAAAAAAAAACCCGGGGACAAACGCATCCTGTGATTTCAAAACTACTCGCGACACATTAACGAAAACTGTGCGCCGAACAGGATGCGGGGTGTCATAAGGATATCATTCTCTAAAATGACACCGCAGATATTCAAACTTCTCTTCATCTCCCACCTGCGTCCAATCCTTGAATTCGGACTTCCAGCCATAGCTCCAATATGGAAGCATGAAATTGACCAGATCGAAAAAGTTCAGCGGCAGGCCTGGAAATTTGTCCTTGGGCTACGCGAACTCCCCTATCCCGCTCGAATAGAACGGATGAACCTTTTCTCTTTAGACCATCACCGACGTCCCGGAGACATCTACATTACGCGCATTCTACGAGGAGAATTAGGAAACGAGCTCAGGCAGTTTTTTCCGCCAAGACTTGGCAGTTCGACTCTAGGTCACAGCTGGAAGCTGTTTAAATCGAGGAGGTTCAAAGTCCTTTCAGACATTGTTCTCTACGCGAGTAGTTAATGATTCGAACTGACTGCCGGACCCGATTTTTAATGTGCAGTCAGAAGGGAGCTTCAAACGTTCGTCAGACACATACCTACTGATTACTCCAGGATCCTGTAGGGTTGATACCACCATCCGGAGATATGAAATAACAGCCACACCTGCAATCCTTAGAAGCACAAAGAGAGAAGGAGCTGACATGTGACCTTCCTTCAGCTCTTTATCACTCAATGAACTGAATACTAGAACAATGGAGTGTGGTGGAACCGACTGTCGTGAGTAGCGTGGCCGGGAAGAACGAAGGCAACAAAGTAAGAGAAAAAATAACAAAAAAAGAATAAAATAGAAAACGAGCAGAAAGAGAACGGGCAATTTGCGTTGTGAGGGATCTCTAAACAGAATGCAGGAGGTAAAGAAAAAAGGCGTCAGAGTACAAGACGGTTGAAAAGATCGTAAAGCAATGACGCAGCCGATCTCCGATCACCACCAGTTTCGTAGTCAATTTGTTCCTGCCTGCCCAGTTGCGTGCTTCATTCCACTAGGTGCAAAACGACAAAATATAAATGCCAAGGAAGGTACTCGGCAGATAGTTGGGAAACATAGCCCCCAGCCAACTCGTGATGCACAGTGCTTGTCGATAAATACTAACTGGCTGATGGGCGAAATAACTGATTAGCACTCCGAATACAAATAGCTGTACCATGAACGTACAGAATTTCGGAGGAAACTAACTTCATGATTTCTTCTGTAACGGAACAGAAACGTGAGCGATTCATGTGAATGAACCGATAACACCGATGTATGTTTCCTTTACCCATGCAAGTCTCCATGAACTAGACAATCGGTGAAGATTTCAACGTCACATTTATTCACACTACACAGTTGTTCGTATGAACTACGAGTGCCACTTTTATCCGATCTGTAGCACTACTACATAGAAGTTCCCTGTTACATTCGAACGTTTTTCTTTCGCTCGCCGGAGCTTCGTCGTTACGCAACCGCGTCGCTCCATCGACGGTGTTAACTTGACCGAATAGCACTTTGTGTGACGGTACGCTGATATGTGTTCCGTGCACGTCGACCGTACGCTGCAAGAACCCACCTCGTTGGATCTATTACATGCTGGACACACAATGAACGAAGTTTGACGTAGCACATATACTCTTGAGCAACGAAACGATCCAACTCTCTCTCTCTCTCTCTAAAAATACATTTGAATTGGAAGGACTCAAGTGTGGGATAGTGACACGTGCAGTAATTTCCGCGGAAAAAATGACCGCCGGTGACTATTTACCAATCTAGCTAGATGGACTGATTCACTAGTTCCGGGAGAATTGCTCGACCATAGTAGGAACCGGTGATGTGTGTAGGTCTGGTCATAAAATGGAACCGTACACACACATCTTGATGATAAAGAAATAGTTTTGCGAAGAGTACTCTTTCCGATAAATCTCCTCAGGCATTTACAATTATAAAATGGAAAGGCAGAACACAAATAGCTGTTGAAGCCAAAGAGATGGGGATAGTGGGAACCAGGTGGAACACACAACTTGGCGTCTGTCTAAATGCATTGCGAAGCACTGCCCAGCAGCTTTGCGGAAAGGCATCGTCAGTCGCCACAACAGTTCCATCCCGGAACATCTGGTGGAAAGCAGACACCAAATGAGGACCGCTGATGCCTTACAAGTATTTTATATAGTACAGCAACGGTACACTAAACAGCATAGGAAGTAAGTCTTACGGATGACCGAAGCGATCGAGATGAGAATAATTCAACCGGAATTATGCAAACAGTAGGTTTTGCTGCAACAGATTCTCCTACCTTGGCCCTAGTTAACTAACCAACTTTTATCACTCAGTGCGCCTACAGTGATCGCATGATACACTTGGCATTCCATCGATCAACCAACACGTATTCTGTCACATGTGTTGTTAGCCGACTTTATTGATCAGGACTTGTGATTTTCTGTTTGTCGTGATGCCACCATTCCCATCTCTTTGACTACATACGCTATTTGTGCTCTGCCCATCCATTTTCGAATGGTAAATACCTGAGGGGATTTGTCAAAAAGAGTACTGTTCGCAAAATTGTGTTCTTGCGTTTCCATGGGCATAATTGACGAAATAAATGGTTTTATTCTCGTGAAACGACATACCAGTACAGGAGTGAGCAAGTGCTTGACAGAGCTACAGAAACATAGTAAGCATATGGACATCAAACGGTTGAGGTGGGCAAGTTCAATGGTAGAATCTATAAGTGTTATTTTTATGGATAATCTGGGTGAGGGTTTCGAATGGCTCCGGAGATTCAGTTCCAATTTCTCCGTGGGCACAGAAACCCGAGAAGATACTTGATATGCGCCGTTGGACGAGAGGTTGAGGTTTCAGGGTTATATACAATGGCAAGAATTCAGTTGTGTATATGCCGTTGTGGTCAGGAGCTTTAGATGCTGAAATCGTTGTCAGTGTGCAGCAATGGGCAATGGCTTTGTTCTGGTGGCATGTCACATCCGCTACGTCGCAGTGTTGTTAAACAGACACTTGTGGCATTTTATAGGGAGAATGCTTGTCAGGTGAAAAACCCCTCACGTCCTGGAACAGTGCCGTCGATCGCAAGTTGAGCAGTAGTGAGTCAATGGCAATGTTACTTTAAGACCGATTTTCCGCACGACTAATCGCAGTCAGGTTGGCCCCAATGTTTCCGCTGGATGATCGAAAACTTCAATCAGGATTCACCTGTAACAGTTGGAGCCGGCGGTACTGGACGAAGATAGGACTTTGGAGAGTGGGATGTAAGGTTGCGCAAGTGAGCGAGAATCACAAAATAATGGAGGTCAGATATTTCATTTGTAGTGTCAATGTCCGAGCCAAGAACCCAGGGGGCGAGGAGGCGTCGCAGTATAGTCCACGGGGATAACAATCCCACAGACGTAAGTAGGACGCTTGCAGGGAGATCAAGTGTAGTCTCCAGAATACAGGTATAGGCGAGTGCAATACTACAAACCACAAAAGATATGCATCCGAATGGCGTAATATTTTTGACAGAACGCACTGACGCGGTGGGTATGGTATTCATGGAACAATGCCACCAAGCGGATGAAGATACTGAAACACCAGAGAAAGAATCAACTGACGAGATGAACGGGGTATAACGCCCTGGCATTACAAGTAAGTAGAACACCTGAAGAGAGATGAAGCTCTATTTCTTGTTGAGGTGAAGTTCCGGTTGTGAAATGGATTTGAACCCAATGGTTTAAACCGGTGGAAGATAAAGAACAAGCGGAAGGAATACGTGTGCCAGAACATGCAGTTCTCAGCAGCAAATCATGCGGCGGTGCTGTCTCAACTACACATGGAGGCATATCATTTGGTTTACTTGGTCACCTGACAAATGTCATCCACGACGAGGAACAAACTGGCACTGGCAAGGGGATGGTAGACGTATACCTACGATCATCAAGATCTACATGACGATGTTTGAAAAAATAAAGCCCGGTGATGAAAATGTCGGTGCATTAATAAAATAATGGCAGTTAATGTGTAGTTCGCACGAATAAAAAGATCAACGATAGGAAAACATGGAAACCTGTCAGTTGCTATTAGGAGGTACGCGTCAACGCAGTCTCAGATAAACCAAAAACAGAGGAGAGAGTAAAAAGGAAATACATATTCTTAGTTACTCATGTCATTTGTCTCAATTTTATCATGCGGTCCAACGTAAAATTTTGCATAATTATCCAATAGTATCCGGTTCCGTTTTATTTTTCCTACTGTTTCGAGCTTACGGTGCTCTTTGCTCTGGAATCCCCAGGGGGAAAAATGCAGTCGACAATGGTTAGATGAGAAGTCAAGGCATCTAGGTCTCTAAGCCAAACAGTGGGATAAACAACACAACATTTCTGACAGTGTGGTGTGGTATGGTCAAAAAGGCACGGCATGGCAAATGCCCTCAGAAAGTACTTAAGATGTGATCTAGACAAGTTAATTGGTGCGGCGAGACAGGTGTATTAAAACAGATATTGCAATGTTCGAAAATACGTCAGCAAGCATTCGATCTGCAAACCTGAGGTCGTCACAGCGCAAGTGCGGTCTTTGAAAAGTAAACGATTTTGTCCGGATTCAAAAACTGGTGAATGGGAGAGCAAAACACGTTTCCGTACAGCAACACCGCGTGACCAGTGACGTTGTCAAGTTCATTTAATAACAAGAGATACGACCCGACGACGCTAAAATTCTCCTGGTAACAAACACTGAGCAGGCTCTCGAGTTACCGCTTTTAGAATAACGTCACCGATAGAAAGAAAGTTCTATTCGTCATTCAAATTATGTGCCTCAAGTGTGAGAAAAGGAACAGTACCAGACTGCACTACAAGGGAAGAAGAATATATCATCCTTAGAAGCCTTAGTAGTATATTCCGGAGGTCTTCGCCGAGTACCACTATATCGTCAACATACTCTAAGTATGTCAGTCAATTATCTAGTAGTCTCCCAGACCTTTGAAGATGATAGTTTTTAGTACATCCAGAAGTACAGCCTAGTGACATCGAAAGATGTAGAGAGTATGCCGTAAATCATCCCTCTGTCTGAGACATCTACATGCAGAGCTTGAATGATGGCCCTGCAATGCACGGGGAGTAGGTACACTGGTAACCGACGTCAGAAAGCAGACCGAGAACCTTAGCCAAATGCAGTCTGGTTGTCCAAGGGTAGTGACAATGGTTTAATGGCCGTGATGCTATTTAATTAGTTGGCGGGGTGTGAAGAGCTGGACCGATTTGTATTCACCTTATTTCTACTAAGAGCCTGCAATTCCATCCAACGAGGGGAACGTGTTGAAAGAAGAGAAATCTCTCCAAAGAAAGGCGAAAAGCAGTAGTAAGCACTGGACTAAGATTTGCCACGAGGTGTCAAACAAAGAAGGTGAAGTCCCACGTGAAGCTTGCACGTGAAGTTAATCTGTATGAAGCGGCGCATGTAGTGGGGCAAGATAAATGACCGTCAAGGGTGACGGTGTGCTTCACACAGTATTGCCTAAGTTGACTAAAAGTGGGCGACGAGGACTGCGCAAATGTAATGTTGCAGAAACCTGGAATCGAGACGCTCAGTTCATTCTGTTAGTTGGCGAAATTGTCAATATGGTTAGGAGACAGCCGGAGCAGGTTGGATTAAAAGACCGGGATCAAACAAAACTGACAAGACAAAATGTTCAGACACGATCTGGTTACTTCTGGAGCACTGATGCTGACATATGAGTCCGTCGATCGATGAATATGGACTTTGGAGAGTGGCAGCAAGGTCAAGAGGACATAAGGAGAGCTTAAGCGAAGGATATCTGCACAAGAAAACGCCGGTAATGTCTGGTATTACTGACAGGGTTGCTGAGAATAGACAAAAAAGCGGAACAAATGATCGAGATGTGGATAAGCTAAAAAACTAACCACCAGAGGGATCAATCGAGCAAGCAGGATAGTTGGGATGACTTCGGATAGATGCGACGACAGCCTCAAGTCGATGTAGCAATGAGGCGGAGATGTGAAGCTGCATCTCAGTGGACAGAAGACGGATGACAACACGATGCGGAAATTGTCGGGTTTCGAGTGAGGAAGTTCGCGCAGCTGAAACAATGGGAAAAGCACGAAAGTAATACACTTAGAAAGGGTGAACGTGCACATCAATCGCATGTCAAAAGGTCGGTTGAAAGAACTATTGATGAAGACATCAGTGGAGGAGGGGATTAACGCCCAGTGAGGTGAATGAAGTTAACGAGTATCTATTACGCACTCGCATTGGAGAAATTGGATTTACGAAAAGGCTGGAAGATGATGCCCAGAAGTCGTTCCCGTAGAGGCCCAGCTTAAGGTAAAACTGAGGTGCTGCAAACTTGTTAGGTGGAGCGAAAATGAGTACAAAGAATTGAGAGGATTCAAGGAACTTAAATTGGCTACATCAAAAATGCCATTGCATGACAATATTGTTCCTGCTAAACTCCCGGGTAGCGTGCATTCCCCACTAGTCTGGCGTAGAGCAGAAAACGCAGTATGGCAAGTAACTAGAGTGGACAGTCGGTGCCAAGCGGGTATGACTCGACATGGGGCTCAAAGAAAAGGAGAATGGTTGTTTTGTTAGTAGCGACATCGAGAAGGTATACTTGTAGCGAGCGTAAACAATATGACTGCTATTCTTTTTAGTTAACATCTCCAATCTATCTTCATCAATTCCGTTCGAACAAGTGAGAAGGTTTTTGGCAAAGAACCTCATCGCCAACTCAGACTAGCGATAGTAAGAGAAACATGGTTAGCGGCGCAGAAACAAGTTTAGGGCAATGACAGAAGTTCAAAGCCTAGACTAAGATGAGGTTTGTAAATTAAACGTATATCGTTAACCTTTAACGCCTAATCCTAAACTGTTTCTGTAAACGAACGTCTCAGAAAGCCGAACAAACTTCATTATTTTGAATAAGAGCACGAATGACTATCTTATAGACGAGCGATCTATCGGGACAAGTGGTGGGCACTAGTTAGGACATATATGTCACTGTGGCTTTCATAGGACAGTCACAGGACGCTTGCGCCTACAGAAGGACCATGGATGACTTGCGCTGCACCACCCACAGTTCCACCCACACACCCCATATCCGATGTTAAACCGAAGGGAAAAGACCGGGAGGCATGCAGATGGAAGTCACGTTTCATCAATGGAGCCGGTCCACACTCCCTCAACAAGCAGAACAGAAGCGTACCTGGGTATTTGGGAAATTGTGCGTACCAAACATACATAAGGTGATGGCTGGGCCGTAGCCCATTCCACCCAAGATGCATGGAACCACTCTTTGAAACTAGCACCGTCAAGAGGGAAGTGCACCCCGTCCCCTCCAGGAACGACCAACTGTCACCTAGAGGCAGTATAGGCGAGGTGACGGGTAATAGACAGGTAGGCGACTTGTCAACATTCACATCAGGCGCAGCCACACCGGGGAGCTCAATCAACAGCAAACCGCTGAAATGCAAAAATCCCAATACGCAGACAAACGTGCCACATCAGGCGCCTTACTGGCCTGGGTGAGTAAATCGAATGGGAGCGGACGCATGGTGCATGTCCTCGCGTGCATTGGTGTCTTCTCTTGCACAAAGGTAACCGCTCTCATGACCAGCCCATGGCATTCGCACCGGTCAACTCTGCCTCGGAATCCCAACATCAGAAATCAGCATTAATTAGTGATAAACCCACCTTGTTCACGTCCAGGTAAAGTAAATTCAGTTTGCCCGTGGGCCGCTTCCTTGCACTAAGTTGGCCATACAAAAGCAGTATGAGCATCCTGGTCGAATTCGTTCAGTATACATATATACATGGATTGGCGGCATCGGTGTCCACTGTGAAGTGCAGTCAAGTCAAAGTAGGATATTGTGCACCCGGGTAGGTGCGTTTTCAGCATATTGCACTATCACTGCGGATGGTAATGTATATCAAAGTACTGTTTGAGAAAAATCCGCGTGAAAATTGCTACACATATCATTTGAGCAAATAATTTCGCATTATACCGACAGTTTTGGTTGGGACAACAAGCAAGTGGGACAGGTACGGTAGAACAGAATTGCGGTGAGATGCACTACGCGAAAATAAAATCTTAAGTTTGGAGCGAGTAGAGGAAATAGGTAGTGTTTTTGATAGATCACAATGTGGTGGGTGAAGAGGGTCATTTGGAATTCTCAATTTGGAATTTTGAAGAAAGAAAGAAAAGTACCTAGATTATTAATTGGAGGGTCAAGTTTGGACTACACGTTGTGTGATTGGATTGCGACACGCAACCTCAACGCAATGGACTGTGATTCACATTGAAATGAACCGTAGTCACTGCGATCGCTGGGACCGTATTCAAAGTAGATGGAAATTGGGTGTTGCCCACCCGAAAACACTGCACAACCACGACGCGTTTCGATGTAATTTCATCTCATCAGGTGGAGACAGCAGGCATCGATCACGCGACCATTGGAATGGTAGCCCACACTACTACCCCTTTGGCTACCGGGTCACGGTCGGCAACGCTTTTTGGCATAACGGTAAATGACTAATTGGAGGGGCAAGTTTGGACTACAGGTGGTCGCGTGATCGATGCCTGCTGCCTCCACCTGATGAGATGAAAGTACATCGAAACGCGTCGTGGTTGTGCAGTGTTTTCGGGTGGGCAATACCCAATTTCCATCTACTTTGAATACGGTCCCAGCGATCGCAGTGACTAAGGTTCATTTCAATGTGAATCACAGTCCATTACATTGAGGTTGCGTGTCGCAATCCAATCACACAACGTGTAATCCAAACTTGACCCTCCAATTAGTCATTTACCGTTGTGACAAAAAGCGTTGCCCATCGTGACCCGGCAGCCAAAGGGGTAGTAGTGTGAGCTGCTATTCCAATGGTCGTGGGTTCAAATCCTGCTGTTTCCACCTGGTGAGATGAAATTACATCGAAACGCGTCGTGGTTGTGCAGTGTTTTCGGGTGGGCAACACCCAATTTCCATCTACCTAGATTATTGAAAACAATAAAATCCACAAGGGACTCTCTAGACGATCCGCTGCATCTGGAAATAAGCTTTATGGACCGCACGATCAATGTAGTCCTTTCTGTGTAACCCAGGGAAGATCACAGGGGAACAGTAGAACCAAGGTGGCAGTATATATATATATATATATATATATATATATATATATATATATATATATATATATATATATACGGTTCGAATACATCATATGAACATGCGCTTGCCAAAAGTAAATTATGAACTACCACAAAGTGAATAGAAGCACATGAAACCTTATGAACAATAGTGCTGGAAATGTGCATGGGTTTGGTTTGGAGGTAAGGCTAACAGCCATCATTGCAAAATGATGAGAAATCGCACATACGAGAAACATCCAGACATAAATAAATATGACAGCCTTAAATCTTGGGCATCAATATATGAACGAACCGATATAGGAATAGAAAGGCAACTACCATGAGTATGGTTACAAGGTAGAATTATAAATAAAAAAGAGGTACAGGAAAATAGGGTGTATTGCGGTGCTGCCTACTAGACGAGAAGTCGGGCTTGTACAGCTGATGGAGAAGATCGCACAGCGTGCGAATAAGATGGGGTGTTCACTTCAGGCTCTCCTTGTCGCCGACCGACTAATAAGACTAGACCGGTCCGGTCATCTGCTGTCCGAGATTAGTGCGGATTCTCAAAGAACGTATTTTGCGCAACATTAAGCATTGACAAGTGGTAAAATTAAATATTCATCGCTTATGGTGCCAGGCGCGACAACAACCGCAGTAAGTTCGGTTTTCAAAACAGTGTTCACACTGATTTGCAAATTTCCATTGGTGCTGCACTACCCGCAGTTCCAAGCACACACCCCATATCCAGTGTAAACCCGAAGGAATAAGACCGGGAGGGATGTGGATGGGAACCACGTTTCAACAATGGAGCCGGCCCACACTCATTCACAGGCAAACACAAGCACGCTGTATTTGGGGAATCAAACGCACACAAGCCGGTGGCTGGACCGTAGTCCGCTCCACACTGAGTGCATGGAATCACTCTTCGAGCATAACACGGCCACAAAGACCGTGCACCCCGTCCCCTCCAGCAAAGACCAACTGTCTCCTGGAGCCAGTATGGACGAGGTAGTGGGTACCTTGTCAACACACGCATAAAGCGCAGCCACACCGGGGATGTCAAGCAAGAGCCAATCACACGAAATAACATTACCAAATAAAATACATCTGTTAAAGCATACGGCTATGCTGACGTAACTCTTCCCTAAATTAACATATGAAGTAAGCTGGTCAGCAACGAATCCACGATGGGTACAAAATGTCCACAAATTACTCAACAAATGCTACAAACACAATAAAGTTAACGAAGATAACCATAATTAACATAAGCAACGCGTCCGGTTAATAGAAGATTATTCAGGCAGGCAGAACAAACCAAATAAAGGGGAAGGAAATTTATCCAGTTTAAACAGACCTAGTTTAAGTTGGTTTAGCCCAACTGCGGTGAAGAAGCATCAAAAATGCAACATCAGCCTCAGCATAGGGCACATCTCATGCATATATGGTTGGCGACATCCGATTTCGGATTTGCCTGTAACTGTGGCCAGCCACAGAACGCCTGCGCCGACAGAGGGACCATGGGTGGCTTGCGCTGCACCACCCACAGCTCCAAACACACACCCCATATCCAGTGTAAACCCGAAGGAATAAGACCGGGAGGCATGTGGATGGGAGCCATATTGAATACAATTGAAAGTCACCGATCGCAAGTTCACTAGACCTTATTAGCATCAGACAACTTCGCATGTGATAAATCCAATAACCAACATGGTCACTGGATATCTTCGCAGACTCTGAAACTTATCTATGCTTCCCGACATATTGCTGCTGGAAGCGAAGACAACGAGACTCGCAAAGAACTCAGAACTCCATGTTAGCCTGAAGAAAGACCGCGAATCCTGGTGCTCTCTTCGTGCATCAGAGATATCCTTGACAAACATCGGAAGTTACTTCGTCTGATTCGGGAAACGGGTATCAGAAGATCAGATGATAGTTAAACCATATGTGATCAGCGTGGACAACCTACTCACAATTTGTCAAAATTCTTGGATAGGTGGGCTGAGCACCTTGAAAGGCAATTTAACTGGACGGAATCGTTAGATTGCTTACCGGCCAATAATGACCCTGACATTCGCTCACTCGCTCAGAAGTCGAAGTTGAGTACGGACGCCCGAAGTTGACTAATGCCGCGGGACCAGATGAACTTCATGCAATTTCAAATTCGGGAGCCCTGCTCTTGTGGATGATTTACACGAGTTACTAGTGAAACGGTGGGAACGGGAAACTGTCCCAACCGACTGAAGCCGCTCTGTTATAGGCTCGATCTTCAAATAAGGCTCGTATTCGGTGGATCAGTCTGATTTCCCTCGAACTCACGTTACTTGCCTCTATCATCCATCACGGACTTACTAGAGCTTGTGAAAGCCAGACTGGTAAGGAACAAGCTGGGTTTCATCGAAATCGCGGCTGCATCGATCACAGCTTCATTTTGCATCATTTGCTGGAGCACCGTCACGTATATTGGCGGTTCACTGCTGTCGTGTTCCTTGATATCAAAGGTTCCTTCGATTCGGTGAATCCATGTGCCCTTGGGAACTGTCTACTGAGGAAAGGTGTGCCCGAAAAATATGTAAATATTATCCGAGCGTTATAGGCGCGAGCTCGAACAGAGTGAAGCTGTCGCTGCCTTACAATATCTCAAACGGTGCAAGACAAGGATGCCCACTGTCACCTTTCTTCTTCAACTTCGCTACTGACGAATTCATGGAAATGGCGTCCACAGGAGACGAGAGAAGACGTGGAGCTGTTCCCCTGTTAACGATTTCTTGACTTGGAAAATGTTGACGGTATTAACATTATCTGTGACAGCTCACAAACGTGCCAATCTGCACTGGCTGTCGGCCATCCAGGGTTTTGTTTTGCACTCCTGCGCTGAGTTTTGGTGGGGATCCATTCGTTCAAAAATTTAACGACAGACAATTGTAGCAGCGCCCTTGGGATCGAAGACTAGATCACAAACCGTACGTATAATAGGATCTCGAGGCGCTTTTGTTGTATTTCTCGTCTATGGCACCGGCGCGACAGCAATCTCCTTGAAGGTTAGAGTGTTTAACGCCGCTGCACGTTCGACTTCATTGTACACCAATGAAACCTGGGCCATTCGACCTACAGATATAAAGAGGCCAGTTATATTCGATTACCGGTGCCTTCGCAATTTGACACATCTGGTGGAAACAACGCGTGAGCAATGAGAATGTTCGACGCCTTGTTTATGACACAGGAAAAGGAAGTGAACCGCTCAGCACCATTAGAGCATGCACCAGCTGGCTGGGTCACGTGTTGCGCTTGCAAGCACACAGATTCCCACGACGTGCGCTGTTTGCGCGCCGGGTGTGGTTAGAAGAAGAGGAAGTCAAGCGATGACTTGAGGGTCCTTAGTTCGAAGTTGACTTCGGTTGGAGGCTGTTGGCTCTCTGGTTAGGGTCCGAAAGATGAAAAACACGTTTGACTGGATACACTTGCTGATATGGCTAGGAGGAGACCACAGTTGCGTTTGAGTTGTGTGTTTGTTTGTCTTTCCACATGAGGCTTAGCATTCCTCTCCAACTACGATCTCATTTCCTAAGTATAAATAGGCGGCTGTTAGCTCTCCGGAACGATGACCATCCATTACAGATGATTCAACTGCAGTGCCACTGTTGCATGTTTTTCTTCCTTTCTTATGTATTGTGGCATAATAGCTGAGGTGTTTTTCAACTCTAGCTAACGTGTAAAATGAATGAATGAATGGAGTTGCACGGAATAAAACTTCTACTTGCTACCACAATACAGTATTCTGAGGACATCACCTCGTATGAGACAAGACGAATTCCGTCTGTCTATTTCCCCTGGGAGCGGTTTTGATAACAAGACTTGAGTGCATCAGTAGAGATGGCTGTCATGATCCACTGGAAAACACCAGACACGCTTTTAGCAAGCAGTTCTTTAACACCAGTTCAGGATACCCATGGAGGGAAAAATACATCAGCAGTAAGCCAGCACCACCGTAACGACGCTTCGATGACGCAGTCATCACCAGTCGCGCGTGGTCTGGGTATACTGCCATGTCCACAGCGATTACGCGGATTGTATCCGGTGACCTCCGGATTACAACACCGGAGTGTAACTTTCGACCACCGGCCGATCTTAGGTTGGTAGGATGAAGGACAAACGAGAGTGGATACTCAACAGCAATTCATCCAAAGCTCCCAGTTGTTTCAAAATTGAAGGTCTTAAGTAGAGAAGTACGAAGAAGCCTAACAAATAAAAGACGGCTTTAGTGGCGTTTCGCGCGCCATATCTGATAGGCTGAACGGAACACAAAAGTCCATTTCCAATGAACTGTTCCCATCATTACTCAAGAGATGATAGAGAGAGGCACTGAATGTACCTCAATAGAGCTAAAGATTTGTTTAAAGTGGTCTCAATGTAAAAAGGAGTTTATTCGTATAAGACGACTGGTCGATGGTTGTGCATTCGTGTGGCAGTTGCAAGAACCAAAACAGTGAACACGGATATGCGATTGGTACACTTGGATGGATTTGAAATTTGTTTATAAATCAGAAAATGCGACCACACTGGACGGAAACCCCCTCACAGTACGAGAATGGGTAGAACCCATCAATAATAGGTGAGTATGTGAAACTTACTTTCAGTTGACTTGAAAGTCGGTGCGTCGTATTCCATCGAATTGACCAAGTCGAACCACAGAGCAGGATAGTGTTCTAAAACGACAGTGTCCGTGAATTTGGAAAAGTAAGAGTCCAGTTGTAAAACACATTGATTGCTCGGCGAATCGCGTTGCTCATTCTGGAGCACCCCAGGTAAAGTGACGTTCGAATTTGAGTGGAACATTGAGTAAAACAGAAAGCGGTCGTTTGGAGGCTGTGAAGACGAACAGCCATGAGCAGTGCCAAACTCAGCGAACGCCGGAAGCTGGGAAACGAGACAAATGAGTTGCGCAAGAAAAGATGTGGTAAATCAAGGAGTCATATTGTCGAACGTTAAGATGAAAAGGAAGAACCGCGTAATAGAGGCGCCTAAAATCAATGAGAGACGAAATTTGTGTCTGGCTACTACAAAACTGCTCCTAAGGGTCCAGGTGACCCGCTTTGGGAGCACCAGTCGCATATTCTCACCCTCGATATTATATACACTCAGTGGTAAACAAGAAGTTGATCCAAAAGCCGTGTAAGATGAAGAACGATTAGAACATCGGTAGTGCCCATCACGCGATAGGATAACCGCGTGCATGCATGGACAGGTTTTGTTGGCAGATTCGCCCATCGAAATAGGGATTATCTTAGGAAGACGTAAAAATGAAATGAAAATACTGGAAATGAAAACCTGTGCGTTACTTATGGGAAGCAGAAATAATTAGAAAAATTTCGTATAGTTACCGACAATTGGTATACGATCCTAAGTGGGAGCGATCATTTCGAAATATAATATAGATGCGGATGAAGTGATACCGATTCTGCTTTGAAAGTTGCGAACGCATTGTTGCTTGCCGAACAACCTCCTTACGATGTCAACTGGGTGGATCGAGTTAATCGCATTCCAGCAAAAGGTACAGCGGCAGCGTTCCAGGACGTGGTAAGGTTTCCCCTTGACGACAGCACTACCTATATAAAGCCACAAATGTCTATCTAACAAATTTGCGACGTGGCATATGCAATTCGCCACTAAATAAAGTCACTATCTTTATCCTGTACGGATGATCGTATCCATTCTACGGACGTCAGTCATCCACTTCGAAGAGTTCTTTCGATCCATATTTACGCTGGAGACCCGACCGAATACAATCACAAATGCAGCGTCACATTAACAAATTCGATTATAGTTGGCGACATCCGCCTACGGACATCCCTGTCACTGCGGCTTCCACAAGATGTCTGCACTTATAGAGAGACCATGGGTGGTTTGGGCTGCACCACCCACTGTTCCGTAAAGTTTAAACCCGAAGGAATAAAACCGGGAGGCAGGTGGATGGGAACCAAGTTTCATTAACGGGACCGGCCCATACTCCGTCAACAGGTACAGCAGCCGCGTTCCTGTCTATCTGATATGGGAACCATGTGTACCAGCCGAGCGCAAAGCGGAGGCTAGAAGCTAGTTCGTACCAAACTGGATGCGTGGAGCCTAGCGCGGTAACGGGGACGGTGCTCCCTGCTCCCCCCCCCCCAAGCAACGACTAGCAGTCTCCGGCGACCAGCATTATCGAGGTAGCGGTTTTTCGATACGTAAGCACCTTGTCAACCTTCACATCAAGCGCAGCCACAAGGGGGATATCAAGCAACAAACACAGAATCTAAAAGAAAATAAACACTCAAAGTAGAAAGTAAAAGTGCAGTCGATTGACAGCATAAAGTAGCTCAAAAAGTGTATTGATTCGGATCCAATCTGAGGGTGTTCTTTGACCAGTGTAAGTCAGGAGATAACAACCGACCACACCGAGGAAGAAAGGAAAACAAGCACGCAAATTAAACAGGGAAAATGGAGAACTTTAACAGAACTGAGAAAAATAAAATGAATTAAGTCACATCTAGTGCATTGCGGAACGAGTGTAAGTCGCTTTAGCCCAATTGCGATGAGGAAGCACAACAAATGCAACACCAAACTTAATATGCACAAGGTCCGACTTTCAAACAGAAGGAAGAAGGCCATATCGATTCGGCCACTGGCTCGAAGACGAAAATAAGATTAGTAAGGGACTGGGAGAAACGATCGCAATCCGAGATGATGAACTGGTCTGCTGACGCAGCACAGGAATATGCTTCTGGGCCAATTACGAAGGGGCTGTGGCTTGTTGAAAGTTAATAAGTACACTGGGTTTTACAAACGAAAGCAGCTCAGTTGAAAAACGAGCGGATGACATAAGCGCGCCAAAGAGCAAAGTGGGGGATTTCACTCACGACAACTGAGCCATCTTCATTTACTCTGCCGTAGTTTGGTAGGGTATCAGTGGTACCGGTTGCAGTGGAAAGGCACTCATCCATGTTTCCACATGTGCAATGATTGCCAATAAGATGTGCTGAAAGCTGCTTGATGCCCAGTTGAAACGAAGTGAAGTAGGAACCAAAGATGCTTGACTGAGAAATCAAACCCTATATAGAAAAGAAAAATGTATAAGCGTACATGAAACAGGCAAAAACATTAAATTGCTAATGAGAAAGTGGGATTTAAAGCACGTTCAGTACCAGTAGCCGATGAAATCTGAGCTGGTATCGCTCTACTCAAGAACTTGGCAATTGTGTTGCTGTTTACTCGATAATTTAAGTGACCTCATCAGTGCAGTACAGTCGGTAGCTTATTTGCGAGTGTGGGAGAATAACGAAAATAATTTCAACAGGCACCGCTCCAGTCCTAAAACATTCCGCTGGAGCATCGGATGCACGGGTTTTGTATTGGGATTTGTTAACCGCTCGGTTTGTTTGCTAGTGGTGGTAAGAAAACTCCACCACTCCCCGTTTTGTGTGTTTGTCCCATTCACTCTTATGCATCTCGTCCTCTTTTACGGTTCCTCACATTTGTGACTCGCTTGGGTTAACACTGAATCTTATGATCAATGGCTTCTCCCTTACTCTGTGCATTTCGTTCGTACGTGAGACACCGTATCGATCCTTCGTCCCTGGAATGACTGGCTTTTATTGATCGAGTGTCAGCCTTTCCGCATAGTCTGTGTATATGCCCTAATTTGAATCATGTGATCGTTTTGGACACACAGATGCTTGGTGCCCGGTTTGGCGTGCGGTGTGAACATCGTTTTCTGCCCGGTCGTTTGTGTTCTCACTACTGTCAGTGGGGCTCCGACACAACAGCTAGGCAGTGAAGTCTGTCCTTATAGGTTCTAAGTCCTCTGCGGTGCATTGGCGCTATGCGGAAAGTCCTAGCTCGTGAGGCTAGCCATTGTCCTCTGCACAGTTCGTAACTGGCATGGCAGTGGAAGATGAGCCGGGCTATATCATAGTCAACTGTCAATCGCGCAGGTCTACGGCTGTCACCCATGGCGAAGCGGCCCTAGCTGCTGGCATCCTGAAGTCATGGGGGCGGAATCCGGCAGGGTTTCGCAGGGAGGCGCACCATTGACGAGACCTAGAAGGTCGAAACGCCGGCGTCTGGTGCTTTTCTAGACTAGCCTAAGCCTGCTGATTGGGAATGGCGATGATGAATTAGCTGAATTATACCACAAATTCTCATTACTCATCAGGCAGTGAAGTGTTTTGTGGTATCTAAACGACCTGCACACAAAAACTGTGCATACTCATGTCTACTGGGTTGTTCAGATAGAGAACCAAGTTTAGATAACCCCTTCCGATTCGGTTTACCCTTGAGTCAGAATCGAAATTGTGTCCCTTCCTATTTGTATGTGCTAGGAACAGTATGAGGTCATGCCAAAACCCTTTAGTGCTATCGTTTTCATGTTGAAAACTTCCTGTTACGCCTACGGAATGGTGTTTATAACTTATGCAACACGACTCGTACATAACATTTTTCGTTTATGTGCCTCTGGTTTCCCCAATGAAAATGATCACCTCCTAAGATCGATAACTGGTTTGTGGGCAATCCTGAGGCAGCAGTCTCATTTTTCCGGTCATGGTTTAAGACGTCATCTATGGAAACATCAGGAAGACCAGTTTCTTTCTCTTTGGCATAGGTTTATGGCTTTGGGATTTGTGAGTTAAATATCATTTGAGTAAAACCGTGTGGATATCTGCTGCGTTAAAGCACATTCGACCGAACACCTTACAGGCGTCTTCTTAGAAATCATGCTAGCTGATTTCAAACCTGACTGGGCGTTCCCAGCTAGTCACTCCGAGTAAACATTACTCCCCCCTACGTACTAGTGGTATCATGCAGGAAAGCGTACTTGGTCCTTCCCACTCCATACACTACATCAATGATACTAGCAGACCCATCGAACAAGACAGATCATTTTATTTACTAAAGACGTAAGGATCGTTCGCATGTTTCGATGAGACGAACCAAGGAGACCAATGTTGCTACTTCAAGATGTCAATGCATTTGAGGAATGGTGTGACACATGGTTACTGAAGTTCTCATAATGAACGGATCTGTGTAAAACTGCCTACCTATGATCTACAAATACTATACTCCTGCAACTTCAACTTAGCAGAGCAAATAGCGCGGGCCAAACAGTCTATGACTAACATTTGCCATAAAATCCAAACAGGCACTGTCAGAAAGGAGCTTATCAAGATCCGTCCATCTTCGGGTAATCCAGCACTACTAATGCAAAAATGAGTATGGGGAACAGAAAAGCTATGAAAAATCTGCAAAGATCATTCGATAAACGTCTGTTTAGTAAAGCATTTTTTACCTTAAGCCATCAGGAGCATTGTCAACAGTTTCACCTTGAGACTCTGTGGTTGAAACCATAGAACCACGAGTTGGTGCTCTTGCACAATATTATAAATCAGAAGATAGACTCTAATATGTGCACAGTAAAATTGTAACATCACTTCACTCGAAAGATTCGCAATTCGTTCCGACGAGATGAATGTCACCAAAGTACGATGCATTATAGGGGGAAATATCTGCTTGATATCGGGAGCAAATTTAACCAAAATTCCTCGTAACTGATGAACAAACAATTTACACTGCCAATTCTAAGTGGAACCTGTGCACAAAGATCGGACCAGGCTCATTGGGCCGTGTCTCACCTTTCTACGAAATATACATATACTGAAAACAGAGCTGGTAGGTGTACATCTGTGTAGTTGAATCAGGCAAGTGCGCGGGATCACGCTACTGATTACTGCACGTTTGCAGTATGTTACAGCGGTGAAATATGCTATTGGGGAGCAATGAGCCCCGTGAATCTGAAATCTGAAAAGTGGGCATCTAGGAAACGCTTAAATTCCGACATCGATTTTGCCTCGGGCAAACTGTTCCAATATTTCACCAACTGACGCTCGAAGTACAGAGGATAGTGTATATTTACCAGATAGGGCTTGTGATGTACGATCATAACAAGACCTATAGATTAATTCCATGAAGAACTAGAACAGTTAATCGCCTTGATTGCTACTTCGCAAGACACGCCGTAGTGTGGAATAGTCATTGTTAGGTCTTATGAAAATGCAAGAACATACCGCATTAAATTTGGGAATTCCCCCGATCGGAACACGATAATTGCCAAATATTTAGCATAAAAATTGCAAAATGAATGTTTACAGGATAGGCCAAAGATGTACAACCAGTTGGATAAATATTATACAAAACGACGCATCAATAAAAGTGATGTATTTCAGTGTTATAGCAAGTTAAATGTTACTGAATACATATCTCAATCTTGCAGTAGAATTATCATTTGTCTATCTAAAGATTTGCCCTATTCCAGGAACTGCCTCATACATTCGAGAAATATACATACTGTATCAGTGTGATAAAAAGTATGTCTTCATTTCGTTTCATCCCGGTGACAGAATAATGAGCCCCGCAGAAGTACACTCCAAGATGTGGTACGTCTGATGCACTTCCTGGGTAAAACCACTAGCTACTGCATAGAGAACTACCGATAATCAATACATGGTGAGAGACGAGACTTACAGTACGAAGTTACAATTATTCTATGTGGAACCGGCAAAACAATTTTACATGTATCCTGTCTGACTGACAGTAGCCAAGGATAAAAAGGCATCAGCAGCACGCCGTCACGCAGTACCGACGCTTCGCTGCAGCGCAACCATCACCAGTATCCTTAAGATACTGCGAGGGTCGCCTTGTCCCTACGCAGGCTCGAACCCGCGTCGTCAGACCACAAACGCAAGCTTGTTGCCATTAGGCTATGCGCCGGCAGTAGCCAAAGACAAAGATTAACGGCATATCCGAGGTGTTCTCTAGTAGACATCTGGAGGGAGTGAACATAGGCTACCAAAGGAACGGCAAGTTCAACACCGGCGACAAGAACAGATGAAAAGAGGAAGAAGTGCTCTAGTATAACATGGGACAGCTCGTATGAATTGAATGGTAATGGGAACACTTCAGGCGTTTTCATACCCACTAGGCATGAAAAAAACAGAGGGTATCAACACACACAGTTCAAAAGGTCAACTGAGAGTAGGGCTTGAACTCCTGTTCCAAAAACAATAAAAAGAAGCGATAAACGAAATGTGGACAGGATATAGGACTGAGATCATGGGCTGGCAGAATTAAGGATTAAAGGTAAAGAACTCAATGCAGATGGGTCAAGGACGTTGGGAACGCGCAATGTCCGATAAATTTTAACCAGTGAAGCGAACAGCCACTGCACTTTCAGTAAGAAAGATAGAATGCAGCACCCTGCCTGATTCGCCATCGGTAGCTGTATGCCCCTCCCGTTACCGTGCCATAGATGAAAACGCAGAGAGAGAACAGAAGAAATGTAGAAACGGATGCTTAGAATAACGTTTTGTTAAAAGTGGGATAGTGGAGGCACACAAACACGAGTGGACACATCTGTGCTTGCACACTCTCTGTCGTACAACTTATGTACAATAATAAAATCGGATCATCTGGGGATAAAGGACTAGTTCAGTGGAAGCAAGTTGACGAGGTGAACAGGATCCAGGGTGTGCATAGTGCTCACATCTATTTCCAGGTTACATTCACAGGCAACTGAGCCGCTTTTTGAGAGGGTTAGATGCAGCTAGATTCAGCCATATATCCGGGGAGGTGCTATATGACTATTTTGTTCGATCAGCAGCCCGCACAATTCATCGACCCTAGCACGATTCCAACCCACGACGCTTGTAAGAGACTTAAGGTATTGTACTAAGGGTGACGGCAACGGAACACCATGACTGGTTACCAAATGAGAGATGACATGGTCTACCCATCGCCCGGCATGCGCGTTATCAAAGTGCAAAGCACAGAGCAGTGGCGTCATTCATTATCCAAGTTAACTGCAGATGGAAAACATCTTAGCTATTATGCAGCAATACAAGAGAAGGAAAAAAGCAACGGGGGCACGCCGGTTGAGTCCCCAGTAATGGATGGACATGGTTCCTGAGAGACAACAACCGACTATCGTGCCGCAAAAAGTTATATTATGCATAAAGAGTGAGATCCAGATTGCTGGGGGATGCTAAGCAGGAGCGGGTGG